AAAAAAAAAAAATAATTGATCTCTGATTTGTTAGTAATTTTGAAAATCTGACGATATATCAAATCCTATATGCCTTTAAGGCATAATATTAAACTCCGCGATATTTGTTTCCGTCATTTGTTTCCACGCGAGTTCAAGTCTTCGTTTCTCTATATTCTATTCTATTTCTTTCTTCATTTAATTGTCGATAGGCATAATAAAGGCTTTATTTTGTTCTTGTTTGCCAGCATAAACGAGGAATATAATGGTCATACGTCAAGACAATGACTGTTTATCTATGTACCTACAGAAGTAATTGTGCAATACCTGCACGTGCTATTATCGTGCTTCTATATTGATTACTAATGCGTTGCTGCATCGCTCTAAAATATATATCATATAATTCTATCATTTATATGAATATCTTTGCTATGTCGCGTACAATAATACAATTCCCCGATCTCGAACGAGTTCACATTAACGTCGTGTCCATTCCCTCTCGTTACCTGCGTACACGAATACATTTAACGATCGATCGCGCCGTAAAATGCATTTTTGCCTTTCGAACGAAGCAACGACACAGCTGACCACGCTTGTCGATATTAACTCCTATACATTATTTAATTGTTAACCCTACAAATCGAATCCGCCAGGTGTTTCCAAAGTGATTATCAAAGCGCATTAATCGAAAGTCAGTATCACGTGATTTCCGCATGCGATCTCCTTGACATACAGGCGAACTTCGCATTCACTTGATGAACATTTTTAATTAATTTCTATTCTTTAATTAGTTGCAAAAATATATATTATGGTTTCGACATATATATAAATAAAAAAAAAAAATTATTTCCATAAATTTTTCTATGAATTGGTATTTCTGAGTTGAACTAATTCTAACCAAAGTTCTTCCTGAAATCAAATCTATATCTATATGTAGAAATATCTGTATGTCAAGCGATTTTGATGCAATTGCAAATCACGCACGCTTCTCCAATAATGGAAAAGCAATGGTCCTCGGTTAATAGTGTTGGTAGTGTCCTCGTCTCTTTTTGCACGTGTGCCATTTTTATGATGGCAATTGCGATATTGCGCTTGAACGAAGTGTCTATCACGTGAATAAGAGTATCTAAATGCTCGAAGCAACAGAAGGATGCTGTATCAATAACATCGATATCTGTTTCTTTAGGCCTTACGCGAGCGTTCAAGCGAGTTTATCTAAGTGTTTGTACTGCTTGTAGTATCCGATATTAAATTTATTGGAAATAAATACGATTCGACCCTCGGTTGATTGTGATTGAGCCATTTGGGGCATAAATTATGAACGAAATGTATTCCGATGAAGAATAGATGTAATCAATAAAATTCAGTTTTGTAATTTTTAAAATTACAACATGTCCGATATACTTTCGTCGCATTAGAAAATATGTTTACTGTTACACCACATCGATTACGAGGTTAATCGAAGGAAGAATCGTTAAGTTGGGTAAATTAAAAATTTAACAATTATAACAAGCTCCCATACACGATTTTCCGCTTTTCTGGATACTCATTTGTACTGACATGAACGAAGGAAAAAAAACAAAGTCTGGAAACTTTTGAAACGACGATTATGTTGTAAAGAATCAGCAGTTAGTTCGAGTAAAACTTACGAGTACAATTGTGCAAAATTATTGCTAACAAGCAAATCGTAACACGATTATATTTCATAATACGATCGAGTTTAAAATTTTTATAAAATGTTTCTCGTACAGTTTGCACCGTATGTTTCGCTGGTTAGTACGAACATCATACACCTATCGTAAAATCTATTATATGCAATCAGCCTCTTTAATTTTATATGAACGTTATTGGTTATTATAAAGCTTAATTGATGTTTCATTCTTCTTCTTCTTCTTCTTCTTCTTTTTTTTTCTTTTTTTTTTTTTTTTTTTTAAATCTAAATAGTCATATGTAAATTTCGTTATCTACCACTTTCAAAATTGTCCCGACGATTCACAATAGTGAACCACGTCAAGATGTTCATTGTTCATTGCGATTGCAAATATTGTAAATAGACATTTATCGTATATGTACTATATATAATATTAGAGTTAGTTTGTAGCTGTTTTCAATAACGTCAAAAATGAAATATATTCAGCTTGTGTGTTAGTACGCCACGTGAAATTCTCGCAACGTTAGATGTGAAGTACGAGTCTTTCTCTCTCTTTTTAGCAATAACGCTTAGCATAGAATACAATTGTGCTGTTATTATGTATACGATTTGCGTTGCTCTACTTGTTTAACATGCGTGTAATTATTACGTTAACACGCGAATGGTACGTGCGTTCAACAAATGAATGTTGAATTCGTTCAGGGCTTTAAAACCATTAGAGAATGGTGCAAAATTCACGATAATATTTGCAATATATTTTGGAATATTCATGACAACTGTCATTGTAGATAGCATGTACGTCGTAGACAACGTCGTACATGTAATATCCCTTTTTCCATACAAAAATCTTGTTCCATCTCTTCCTTCTTTTTACTCTTGTCATTATGAGGCCCGTGCCTTTCGTAAAATTTTACTCGAGAAATTCCTTCGCATCGTATGCGTGTAAAATAAGCTCTGCTTCGTTCGTGATATTTCTTCATTCACCTTTAGCACGTAATTCAACTCGCAGTGCCATTTTTTTTTTTTTTTTTTTTGTCCAATTTATTTCCATTATATGTTTCAGACGTATAATTATTGCGGAACTACTAAGTGTCGATAAAACGAGTTTTTAATTTTGATTGATAGCACGATTTCAATGTATCGTCAGAAATAGATGACATAAGCTGCGGCAATGAAATCCAAATATCTATACAAAGTATCTCACATGAAAATCAATTAGATATAGTAATTTCTGTAATTTTTGCAGATGTTATTGCTTGTATGTTAGCGAGTAAAAGAATTGTAAACTAACTAATCAACTACTACCTAAGTAATGTATCACATTTTGTTCAAATTATATCACAGAATATTTAAAATATTTTAGAATAAACTCAATTTTGTATTTATTTAATTTAACATGCCTGGCAATTTAATAATATGATATTATCTTTGCCTTATCATTACATCCTTGGTTCATTTATAGAATATACGAGTATTAACAGTTAATAGAAAAATTCTAAAATTATCACGAACTTGCCAGAGTTTATTCTACATTTACATGTGAAAATGATGTAAACACTTTCTCTCCTTTTTTTCCCTTGTGCGTAACCGCGAAAGATAAAATCTTGTTTGGACCGAATATTTCGTATTTATCGATACTCGAAGCATATTTCGATATTATCCTTCACAATTATAGAAACTAACATGTGCACCTCCAAGCCTCGCCAGAGGTGACGGAAACCGAGACCGAGACGTGAGACGGTTCTTCAGTCATAACTATGTTGTTGGCTCCTTCCCTTTCGGAAGCTTCGAACAGACTGGCCTGAAATGCAAAAATTCATTTTGACAACATCGTCTGTTTTTAATTTCAGTAAACAGCACAAAGGAAGAAAAATTCACAATTATATCAAATTCTTTACGCTCTTTTTTGTCATCTTTCGTGAAACTACAAGGTATGTATTCGAAAAGTTTGCAGACGCATAAACAAAGGTTCAACTGGCATCAGTTATGCTTATTATTCAATTGAATTATCGCTTATATATGAGAATAACTTGTATCTTCGAAATCATGACGAATTTTGACCAAAGTTTCGTTATGACCCATCGATCAAAACGAGACGAAATTTTAAGGAAGTAGAGCAGAGGGGAAGAGGACTTCGAATATAAAATTTTAGTTGCGGGTTTTTGTTTGTTTCAGATATTAATAAAAAAATTTTGGGTACAATGCATTTTGCCTATACAGACATTACTGATACAAACTGTCTTTGCTAATTAGTCATCATTGTAATAGTCGTCGTTAGCTATCAAGTAGCAAATAATGATACTATCACTACACTCTATAGATAATGAAAATAATATTGTTATTATATAAAAAGATCTCCAATATTCACTGACGATGATCATCACAGCGTGAGATGACTACGAGACTACGATAAATCATTTATAATATTTTCGAGCCACTTTCCCCTCCATTAACGTGTGCTTTTTGCTTCTTAAAATCCATCATGATTAAAAATCATCGAAGGCAGAAGTCACCAATCTCGTATGTATGTAAATGGTAACTCAATTAGAAAGAAAAGCAAAAACTGATGCAAGCAACAATTTAGTAGACCTTTTTCTAATAGACCCACTTTGTGTCCACAAAAGTGTCTATTAGATAATTCTTTCCGTAAGCCCAAGATCGTGAAGACGTTTTACACGTGATGTTTTCGAATTTTCTGAACACACCTTGAGATAAGAATTTTTGGAACTTTGTGAATCATTGATGGAAAAAAAAAAAAAAAAAAAAAAAACGACACGGAACGCGTTGAATGTCAATTTTCATTGAACTTACGTGGAATACATGTATAAAAGATACGATTTAAGAAAGAAGAACAATACCCGACGTCCTCGTTGTTCTCGTATTCTTCTAGCTAAAGTGAGGAAAGCTTCCTCGATGTTTATGTTTTCCTTACAAGATACTTCGAAGAAAGGCATATCAAAATTCTCAGCTATTTTCTGCCCCCTTTCTGCATCGACAGCTCTGTGCGCGGTAACGTCACATTTGTTGGCTGCGACTACCTTCACCACATCCGGTGAGGCATTCTGCAAAGGAAAAGAATCAAGAGTTCTGATCATTTCCATCGAATATGGAGATCCAAGTGAAAAACGAAATAAGTTTATCAACGAAATATTGTCCCGTGTTCTTACTTCTTGAATATTTCGTAGCCAGTAAGATAAATGATTAAAACTTTCTAAGCTAGTGACGTCATACATCAGAAGAATACCCATAGCACCGCGATAATAAGCTGTTGTCAGCGCTCTAAATCGCTCTTGACCAGCAGTATCCCTTAAGAAGTCGATAATATATTAATAATAAAGACTGCTATTTTCGTATCAATTAGGGTTTTTTTTTAAATGACATATTTTTTTTTTTTAAGGAAAAAGAGAATGCACTATTTCATGTACTAGAACGAATAGAAAAGTAAAACTCACCAAATTTGAAGCTTAATTGGCGTTCCATCCAAGTTAATTATTTTTTGTTTGAAATCGATACCTGTTGATTCATTATTCTTAAAAATCACGAAACAAGACCGTTTCTTCACTAAGTTTCAGATATATATTTGTTAAACATTATTTACGAAACTCGAACAACAAAAATAATATAGTTACATTAGAAATATAATTTTCTATGAGGGAAATATCCCGTTATCGATATTAATGGCAAAGATAAACATTTCAATAATTTGATATTTTATACTTCTATAAATCACACAAATTTCGCTCCATTATAAAAAATAATTAGATAACTTTATTCAAATTGCATTTCAGATTTTTATTGAGCAAAATTTTTTTCTCTTGCAATCAGCTGACTAATCGTATTGAACAGTCGTTTTTATCGTCGTAATGTTCTCCAATAAAATTCGCTTATAACTTCTTTCCTTAACTTACAAATAAACACATAAATATGTTAGATTACATTTTATATGTATTTTATATTCAAAGTTTAACAGAAGAGGACAGTATGTAAAACGAAATTCTATCAGGCGTAAGAATCTATACCGAAGAGACGTATTTGATAAAAGTAATCACAAATAGATTTTTTGGTAATGAGATTACCTATGAAGTGAGAACATATGCTTGTCAACAAGTTACAGCTGAATCGCTGTATCGAAATAACATCAGTGTGATTTACTACGATCCATTCTAGAAATTACTTGAATTATTGTTATCATCAATATTATTACTGCTATTACTACAGTAATGTTGCGAGACCATCGCAAATAGCTTGTTTTATAGCTTATTAATTTTTAACTGCCGAAGCATATAATACGAACGCAATACACGGGGGTTTCGACGGAAGGCTTCTTACCTATCGTTGATATATAAGTATCGTAATAACGTTCGTCACAATAGCGGTGCACGATGCAAGTTTTCCCAACGTTCGAATCACCTAACACAAGAACTTTGTAAGTGGCTGCAAAATCGAGCGCCATGTTTGCTTTCGAATTGAACTGTTGTTGAGTTGAGAAGAGAGTCGTCGGCCGGCGGTTCTTTGAATACTTGGGGGGTGGAGGATCGATTCGAAGCCTGCGCTTTTCCCCATGCCGCTCTCCCTCTCACAATCACAACTCCTTTCCTCTCTCACAAATTACAACTTTTCGCCGCTCATGCGCGACGACCTCTGAACCAAAAGAAAATGCATGCAACGACACACTGCGATTGAAAACAAATTTTTGTTTATTTTCACTCGTACAAAATATATCCGGTCACATTGATCGAAATCTTTCAATATAAACGCTGTCCTGTTCTGTTCCGCAATGAAAATAAGAATGCGATAGACTTCTTAAAATTCTATTTTATTCACACATGTTTCATCAACCACAAGAATTTCAAACAAAATATTACATTTTGTTTACAATTTTCGTAACATTTTTTTTAAATGCTACATAAATTTCGTATTGATCTAATTTTGTACAAAAAGTATATATACAAAGATAAAATAAATTAAACTCCCATTTAAATCAGTACAATAAATTAGCAATTAGAAATATTATTTCATATTTTATAGGCCGCATTATTAACAATGATCACAAATATTCGATATGCTGAGGATAAATACTGATAAGTAATTATTGTACTTTTGGTAAACATTTTTTTAAGCACTAAAAAATTAATTACATAATATATATATGCTGCATTTAAAAATTAATGCAATAATAATAATGTTTGCGATATAAAGTCTCATCTTTACAAAATAAAAATTGTTGAAATATTCATTCGTTTTTGAAATATGAATTATGGAATATAAATAGGATGATACTAGATTATATAAAATAAAATAATATAAATTAAATTATTGTAATCATCATAAACAATTTTTTGTCAATAATTTTTATTTTTGAATAAAAATTATTTTATTAATAATTTTTATTTTTGAATAATTTTCAAACTAATTATTTAAATAGTGTTCATAAAAAATTTTTTAAATTCTTGTTTAATGTCTATTATTATTTGTAGAATCAATTAATATATTATAATAATATTAAATCAATGATATTAATGAAAATAATTTGCATTGAATGTAGGCACTTTGTTGTAGCCTTAACAATAGCACTGCTCTTCAAGACTGCCAATAATTACTTTATACATTTTTGTGTCTTCTTTATAATTATTTTTATGAAATGTGTTGCAAACATTATGTATGATATGTTTTCTTTGTTTATATAATTTATAATGTTCAATTAATTTATGATATATAATTCTAAATGATGCTCATTACATTTCATAATATTTAAATAAACATATAAAGCACTACGAAATTATAATGTTTCAGAGTTGTCTAGTATATTAACAATAATCACAAAAATATCAGTAAATCGTTGAAAACTATAAAATAATTCAATCCTTGACTCTAAACTAAACGCTATATGTATAAGTACTTATCTAAATTAAGAACACATTCATTAATATTAAAAAACAGGCAACTAGTATACTACTTGCTTTAAAATTTATTTTAATTTAGTTAATTCATTGTTAAATTAATTTATATCATTATAAATATGATAAAAAACGATTTTTTAATTAAAAAAATGCATAATCTCATCTTTAGTCAATTGTTAACTTTTTGTCACAGTATACATTATACTGATGTTGAAAATTATTACTTAATTAATTTTATTAATTAATTATTTATTATTATCTAAAAAAGTAATTATAAATATATTTATTTTAATGTTTAAAACATATAAATCATTAATCATAATTTTTTTTATATATTCATATACTGTTTTGTTAATACTTAGAATATATTTTGCTCTCGTAGACAAACCAAAAATTTACCACTTTTTAAAAATAAAAGGAATGAGCAACTTAAAAGAATATGTTTTCTATAATAAATAACTTGTATTGTATAAGCTTTTTCTACTAATATTAATGTAAAATGCTTTTTATTAATATCATGAAATGAAGCAGGGAAATATAAAACTTCTTTAAATATATAAAATTAATTAAGTAATAATGGTAACCATTTTTAATGAAATCTATTAAACTAAATCAAATTAAATTTACTGCGTCTAATTAAATTTACTTTCAGCGTAAGTATCAGCACCGTGAAAAGTATTACAAAGATGTATATATATATCTTTTAATAAAATTCATTTATGTATATTTTTCATAACTTTGTATAAGAAAATAAGTTAAATTAAATCATTATTTGATTTTTAAGACACTATTTGTAGGCATTATAACAGTTGAATTACAATATGGCACAAATGCATAATCCTATACATATCATCCCTAACATATAAGCTAGATCTCTTTTGATACTAGGATCTCGTTTGGTAGAACCAGGAAGATTATTTATATTTTTCCACTTAACTGCCCATAATGAAATAGCAACATGAAGAATATCTGGGATCATAAATCCAAGATCACGTACAACCTATTACATAAAAATTACTAACTAAACATTATAGTTTATATATATGTATGTATGTATATATATTATGTCATTGCATATCATATACATATGCATATATATATACATATATACATACATATATATATATATATATATAATATTATAATATACTAATATATAAATGAATTAATGCAAATGATTGCATATTTGATAATTACAATATATGATATTTAAATACTGTTACCTGATGTGCATGCCCTTCTCCTCTAAAAACATTAGCAATAAACTGATCCCAACCACTTGCCACAATATGCAAAATAGCTATTGCAGCTATACCAAATGCTTTTCTATGAGTTATTGAATTTTTATTATCTGCTAGATGAATTACCAGAAAAGTAGATATCAACTCAGTGATTGAGAAAAACAACTGATGGTACCATTGGGAATAGAACTCATCATTCCAGTAATTTATATAAACCCACCAAGTATAATAATGTGAAAAAATAGCAGTTAAAAAAAGGATCATCATAGAAAACCTAAGGCGATTATGGAAAGCTAGCCATGTTAAATGTTTCACTACTTCATAGAAAGTAATAATTCCAATTACAATTGTCGTCCATATTTTAAAAGTATTAGTTGTGGCATTGAAATACATATGTTTATAAGAAGCAATGCCAGATTCATATGATCCTGTAATAATATATTAATACTTTTTGAATGAACTAAAAGTGAAAGTAGCTAACTACATAAAATCTAATGTTTAAATAACATTAACTTACCCTTGAATACTGTGTCCCAACATGAGCAAGAACAATATTGTTTATCAACATCTCTTGCATATTCTTGCCAAAAGTAATACACAAATGCAATATGCAATGGTGGAATTGTTAAAGGTGCTAAGATTCCTAATGTTTTAGAACTACAAGATGCAAAATTTGCATAAAGCATACGTTTTAATATCTTTATGAAACCCATAAGTGTAAATTTTCATTAATATCGAAGCTCAGTTATGTTAAAAGAAT